TTCTGGTAAATAAAACATGTAGATAGGTATATAGAACATGTGTAATAAGAACTATAACAATATGGTGGGAGGAGCAATGTTGGCGAGTAAGATGTTGGAGTGAGGGAGACTGGCTGGGTGTGGCTGCTCTCACTCGAGGTGTTCTGAATGTGTTCATGGCCAAATGCTCCTATTGGCCCATACGAGGCAGCTGCTATTGGCCCATACGAGGCAGCTGCTATTGGCCCATACGAGGCAGCTGCTATTGGCCCATACGAGGCAGCTGCTATTGGCCCATACGAGGCAGCTGCTATTGGCCCATACGAGGCAGCTGCTGTTGGCCCATACGAGGCAGCTGCTGTTGGCCCATACGAGGCAGCTGCTGTTGGCCCATACGAGGCAGCTGCTATTGGCCCATACGAGGCAGCTGCTATTGGCCCATACGGGGCAGCTGCTATTGGCCCATACGGGGCAGCTGCTATTGGCCCATACGGGGCAGCTGCTATTGGCCCATACGAGGCAGCTGCTATTGGCCCATACGGGGCAGCTGCTATTGGCCCATACGAGGCAGCTGCTATTGGCCCATACGAGGCAGCTGCTATTGGCCCATACGGGGCAGCTGCTATTGGCCCATACGGGGCAGCTGCTATTGGCCCATACGGGGCAGCTGCTATTGGCCCATACGGGGCAGCTGCTATTGGCCCATACGGGGCAGCTGATATTGGCCCATACGAGGCAGCTGCTATTGGCCCATACGAGGCAGCTGATATTGGCCCATACGAGGCAGCTGATATTGGCCCATACGAGGCAGCTGATATTGGCCCATACGAAGCAGCTGCTACGCGGTGTTCTGAATGTGTTGATGGTGAATGTATATAGTGTGTGACAGTGTATAGTGTGTAAATAGATTGTATATATACACAAATTAGCATGATACATAGTAAATATGTGCTGCATATGTGTACACAAGTTTCATGCACGTAACACAGTGTCTACGGACAGTACGGATGTTGTACTGCGATATTATAGTGTACGTGTTCATTATACATTGGATTGGCACATAAAAACAATGAAAATGTATTTGGAAAGGTGCGCAAAAAATGAACGAAAATATATTCGCGGCAACTCGCGCGCCCCGCCCCGAGCGCCCCACCGCCCCCGAGAGCTTACGGCACGGGCGCACGGGGAATGATGACGTCACGCCCCAACTTCCGGACCCCATAGCAGCCAAAGTAAGTACAATTTCGACTTTTTTTTTACATACCCATACTGAGGGAAGGGTTTTTGACACTTTAAAAAGAAAAAAGAATTTTTTCCAGAGAATTTATTTCCTGCGCACTGCGGGGGTGTCACATTTGGAGGCAACGCAGTTAAGGGGTTAATAAACACACTCAGTACTCCGCGAGTGTGTGATATGCTGCGAAACAGCCAACGGGGCAGAGTGGCACCTTGCACTCCACGCACCAGGTGCTGATACATCTTCATTTCTGTTCTCTGCGGGTAGTGTTCCTGCATACTATACACGCACATTTACCCTTCTCCCGTGATGCTGTGCCTGGCATATACTCGAGCATATGTACTCCGAAGTTCTCATTACCCCTCAATCTGTCTGGAGCTGCATGTGGCATTGTTGCTTGCACTCCGCGCGGTACAACAGAACCCTCCTTGCCATACTTTACTAGCAGCTGTGACACAACACCAGCACTGAATGTACATATAGACGGTCTCCTGCCAGATTTTACTAAGTACATATTGAAGCAGTTGAGCACTGCAACATCCATGAGGTGGAAGAAGAACTTTTTAGTCCACTTCACAGACTTGCGCACGCACTCCACTCCACCAAGCGTCATGTCACACTTATCGACGAGGCGCATGTTCACGTTATAGTCTATGACACAGTCTGGCTTATACACGGTGTTGCGTGTCTGAAAGTGGACTTTCCCACTGTCCAACATGGCACCGGTGTGAATCGTAGTCAGCATATTCACCTCGCGTCTGTCCTTCCACCGCACTGACAGCGCATTGTCACACTTGCGCAGCTAGCACTCGCCCACGGCTATAGCTATACCGAACACTGGCATTTCCTTCCTGTGGCTCTTCACAGTGCCACATACGCCGGTGTTGTGGTCAAGGAGGTATCTGGTCAATAAGGGGCTGGTGTAATAGTTGTCGGTATACAGTACATGCCCCTTGTTCAGCAACGGTTCCATCAGGGTTTTTACAACACTGCCAGAGAACCCGTGTTCATCTTGAGCCGGTATGTCGACGTCTGTACCAGAATATAATATCATGTCCAAGACAATACCAGTCTCACAGTCACATAGCACAAAAAACTTCAGTCCAAATCGGTGCCACTTTGATGGAATGTACTGCTTGAATGCCAGTCGCCCCTTGAACAGTACAAGCGACTCGTCAATAACCACATTCTGTCCAGGTACAAAATAATCCCTGAACTTCCCTCTCATGTCACTGAACATCTTCCGTACTTTCCACAGTCTGTCGTGTCTGTCCTCATTTGCATTATTCTCGAAATGCAGGCACCTGAGAATCAAGAGAAACCTATCACGCGACATGTACCGGTTGAACACAGGCAATGGAACAAGGCTGTCTTTGCTCCAATAATCCTGGATGACAGCTTTCTCAGAGTGCTTCATCATCATACAGAGTGCCAGAAACACGTACATTTCGTCGATTGTCGTGTCCTTCCATCGTGTGAGCTGTGAAGCAGGTAAAATGCCTTCGTCTATGAGGCTGTGAGCGAACCTGTTTGTCTCAGTCACAAGATGTGTCATGAATACATTGTCAAAATATGCCTGAAAATATTCCATGTCTGCCATATCATCACCAGTATATGGGAATAATGGTGTAACACCAAAATCGCTATCATCAAATGTTGGTATTTGAGGGACAAATGTGGTGCAATCCTCCCACACAAGTACACCAGGGGGTTTGGTGTTGGCGCCAACACCACCACGAGCACCAAAACTACGGCTACGTCGTCCGCTGCTTCTGCTGGAACTGCGTGAGGATGTGCTAGGCGCTTAGGCAGATTTACGTACTGTAGACCTACCACGAATAAATGATGTTGAGGGGCCACTGTCGTTGTCCACATGCTGTGAGGCACGCTGCCGCCTGCCGCGGCGTGTTGCTGAGGTAGCAAAACCCCGCCTGGTAACACCACCACTGCTCGTACTCGGGTCGTCCACACTACTCGTATCGGAGCCAATGTCACTGAAGCCCGAGAAAGATTCGTCACATGTACTATCACTGAATAAACTACTAGCGTCTGGGGACATACATGATGGTGGTGATGATAACGGTGTTGACCCAGGGCGGCGAGGCAGGCCGGGCGAGGCACGAGTACCACACACACTCGCCACATCTTCCAATTCTGTCTCTTCCTCACTCGTATCAGATCTCTGAGTTAGGTCTTTCTCTGGATCATAGTCCAGGTCATCATCCAGAGCACCGTCATCATACAAAATATCGCGTATTTCCTCCTCAGAGAGTTGTTTTCCATGACCGCGGGTCACCGTGGAGCGGGAGCTCGTAGAGGATGCGTCAGACATGGTTGCTGCCGTGAAACTGAGGCTCCCCACGGCCGCAGGGCATGCTGGGATTTTTTTTTAAGATGGTGGACGATCACTGGGGCCCCCATCCACCCATACGATGCCCGCATCACTGCGCGCCAGTTTTGAATGGAACGTGAAAAATCAAAATACCTGGAGGCGCGTTTGCAAACCAGACGCGAGCCTGCAGGCGCGTTGCGCAGTTTAAGGGTTAAAGCCCTGGGGTTTTTACTAATTCCAATCACAAGTAATTTTAATTTGTGTGTGCCAGCTGCATTTGCACAGCACAACAAAGAAATTCTCTGTTTGTTCTGTTTATAACCACCTGAAGGATCGTCCTCACCACTATGAGCCATCGTATCTGTGGGTAGCATACGCCAGTACAAACCTGTCTCATCAGCATTATAAATTTGCTCTGGAGATAAATTTTGTTCCTGTACCATCTCTGCAAATTTACTTACATACTGAACTGCACTAACAATATCAGCAGATTGTCTTTCACCATGCACTTTAATAAACCTAATGCCATGACGGGTTTTAAAGTTTCTGAGCCATCCATCACTGTATACACACTTTTGAGTTATTTTCATTGCTTGGTGAAATTCACGTGTCTTTTCCACGAGCAGCCAGCCTGCCACTGGCTTCTTCGTCACCTCACGCCTCTGTTTGTACCACTCCCACACTGCTTTATCAACACTCTCCACCTTTGCTTTACTTACTACCTTTCTATTTCGTATTGCCTTATCACTTTCATTTCTAGAGAAATAGTAAAAAATGATAGGTTTAGCCTTAAGAAGATCAAAAACAGTACTTACTAATGCCATATTCAGCGCACACGACACTTCTCGGGACACCGCTCTTTACCTTCTTAATTATTTCAACTTTCTTCTCAAATGTCATCACTGACCAATTTCTTATACGTAACCCACTTGTAGATGCTTTCACTGACACAATGCGTGCATTTGGAGTCGACATGGTGCACAGATGTTCCTTGATTGTGCTGATATGTAAAACAAAGTCAGGGAATGAACACTCCAGTCTAGTGACAAACTCAAACAATGGGAACAATATGCCATGAATCTGTGATGTCACAGGGTAGCAGGCGGCGCCCGACACGGTCAGTGAGCAAACTAAACCATCTCCCACCCACCCACCCACCACCAAAGGCCGGCGCGACGCTTGGCACACCACTTCCTCACCCGAACTTAGTTCGTGTTGAGTAACCCTAACCCCGGCCGGCGTGAAGCTTGGCGGACTACTTCCTACCCGAACTTAGTTCGTGTAGCGTGACTCCCCAACCCCAATCGGGAAACTGGATGTTTCGGATAACTAAAGTTCGGGAACCGAGTGGTGCTCTGTATGCGCCTGTGAGTGACACATGCTAAATAGCCAGGCACCATACAAGGGTTAATGGACACCTCTTAAATGTACTAATTTTACTTTGCTCCACAGAATATGTCGCCCAAGAAATCAGAGGCTGCAGCTGTAGTAGAACCCCCACCAGAAGAAAAAATTGAAGACATTACATTTGGTTTTGAAAGGTACAGTAATCGCCTAGTTGTGTTTGCAGGGAGATAAGCTATGGCTTTTGAGTCCCACCTCTCAACCCTTAATCGACTGGTGTATACCCGAGCTTATTGGGCTCTGCCATAGCTACATTTAAAGCTGTGTTTAGAATCTGCCTACAACACTTCACTTCTTAGTGCATTCCATTTCCTCACTGTCATGAAACTGAAATAATTATTTGTAATGTGACTGTGGCTCATTTGGGTACCTAGTTTTCATCTGTGTTTCCTTTGTTCTTGTACTATCCTTACTAAATAGTCTGTCCTTGTCTTTCCTGTCTATTCCCCTGAGTCATTTCCTTGCCTGTGGTATCCATGTCTCATTTCTTTTATCTTCCAGTGATGTGAGATTTAACTCCATTTACCTTTCCACGTAGCTCATACTTCCCAGCTCTGGGACTAGTCTGGCAGTATACAGTATATACTTCTGAATGTTCTCCAGCTTTGTTTTGTGTTTAATACAAAAAGATTCCATGCTGGTGCCACATATTCCAGAATTGATCTGACATAAATGATGTACAGCATCCTGAAAGAGACTGTTTAAATTCCTAAAAGTCGTTCTCTTATTAAGTAACCCTCTGTACATCGCTGAAGATATTCTTTTGATGTGGGCTTCTTCTTTTGATATTACAAGTTTGGTGTAATATCAACCCCTCAAGTCTCTTTCTCTGTCTGATTCCTAGAGGATTTCCTCTCCCATGTGATACATTCCTATCTGGAAGATTTGGCTGCTACTCTTGGAATTGCCCCCCCCATCCTTGAGGATTTTATCTTGAAGCACCAGTTCCATCCCAGGAGATTTTCAGGAGAGTGTGGTGTCTTAGATGATGCTTTTGTTCATCTTCCTCAAAGCTTGGCTCCTGCAGCCTCTCCTCTGACTTCTTGGGTTTGTCTTCCATGCAGTTCATATTTATGGGGTGTGCAATATGCTCATAGACAGACTCACTTTTGTTTGATTTAAATTTATTAGGTGATCAAGGCCTCCTTTCATTGAATATGTAATGTTTGGTCTTCTGTGGATGAATTTATTCTCCTCAGCCTGGAACCACAAGCTCTCTTGAGTGTATGTGTGGCTCAGTTTCCTGGACTCACTTCCCCTTCAGAGCAGGAGAGATTGCTGAAATAGAGGGAATACAGAAAACATATACGACACGGATAGACGCGATAAAACACCTAAATTATTGGGATCGTCTCAAAGCTCTCCAAATGTACTCCCTAGAAAGGAGACGGGAGAGATACCAAATAATATACACATGGAAAATACTGGAGGGTCAGGTCCCAAATCTACACAGTAAAATAACAACGTACTGGAGTGAACGGTATGGAAGAAAATGCAAGATTGAACCAGTGAAGAGCAGAGGTGCCATAGGCACAATCAGAGAGCACTGTATAAACATCAGAGGTCCGCGGTTGTTCAACGTCCTCCCAGCGACTATAAGAAATATTGCCGGAACAACCGTGGACATCTTCAAGAGAAAACTGGACGGTTTTCTAAGAGAAGTTCCGGATCAGCCAGGCTGTGGTGGTTACGTGGCCCTGCGGGTCGCTCCAAGCAACAGCCTGGTGGACCAATCTCTCACAAGTCGAGCCTGGCTTCGGGCCGGGCTTGGGGAGTAGAAGAACTCCCAGAACCCCATCAACCAGGTATCAACCAGGACCCGGATTCACGAAGCAGTTACGCAAGTACTTACGAACGTGTACATCTTTCCTCAATCTTTGACGGCTTTAGTTACATTTATTAAACAGTTTGCAAGCATGAAAACTTCCCAATCAACTGTTGTTATTATTATAAACAGCCTCCTAGTGCTTCGGAGCTCATTAAGTATTTAATAATTGTAAACAAAACCTCCAAAGATTGAGATAAAATGGACAAGTTCGTAAGTGCTTGCGTAACTGCTCCGTGAATCTGGCCCCTGATATGAAGGTTTTGGAGTTGAATGGTCTTCATCTTGTTTGAGGTCAGTAGGAGTCTAGAACACTGTTGTGGGGCTGGACTCTGATAACTGTATCTTGTATGGCTTCTTAGAACTCATTTTCTAGGGGTCTTTAATGTTCAGAGGGTTCCCCTCTCAATTTTAACTAATTGAGACTGACTAGAAGGGGGTTGAAGCCTCCTTCGAATATATATAACACATTTTGTCTTCTTCAGCTTTATATTTTTATTTCTAAATGGGACCATAAACTTTGTGTGTAGCTCTAATTTCCTGGTAATGAGGCTTTTGAGGGGGCTGCATTTTTTTTTTTTTTACTGGGGTCAGTGGGAGATAATATACAATACTGTACTGTATGTTTCTTCCAGTCCAGAAGTTGCTGCACTAATATGCAGCGATGCCAAAGGTGACATTAACATTCTGTTGATGTCACCTTTGTGGGCCAAATTATGCTTTTGGCTTCCATTTAGCCAGCTGAGCCCTGGTTATCAGACCTGTTTTAATGTTGCCCAATCTTAACCTGTTTCCTGTCCTTGCTTTTCCAGAGGCTCTGCTGCATGAGCTTCACAGATTCTTCATGGCTCACCATCGATCTTTGCGTGTTTATATATTTTTTTGTAGTGTATAGCTATTTGTACAGGGGCTGATAATTTTTTTTATTCATTATTTCCATGCACTGTCCTTTCATCAGTACTGTCTCCACTCGATTATCCGGACTATATGGGAAGGACCCCAGCCGGATAATCAGGTGTTCCGGATAATGGTACTTTTTCACCTATGAGTCCAAAACTAACCATTTCAAACTATTTTTATACTACAAACAACATAATTTGAATTGCCTTGCCACATATAATTATTAAATATTCAACTAGAAACCTCAACTTGCCTTGTTGTTGTTCGTCTTCTTGAATGATGCCACACATCTTGAAGTTAAAAATTCTTGACAATTTACGTAACCTATACTAACACAACACTAAAATTAACACTTAAAATTACTGTACAGTTCATTAAGCTAAGTTAGTTTTGACTGCCAGCTGCTGAAACCTCATTGGTTGAAGGCATTGGGCTAGCCTGTGACGCCTCACTTGTTGAAGGCGCTGGGCTTGCCTGTGATGCCTCACTTGTTGAAGGCATTTGGCTTGCCTGTGAAGCCTCACTTGTTGAAGGCGCTGGGCTAGCCTGTGATGCCTCACTTGTTGAAGGCGCTGGGCTTGCCTGTGATGCCTCACTTGTTGAAGGCGCTGGGCTAGCCTGTGATGCCTCACTTGTTGAAGGCGCTGGGCTTGCCTGTGATGCCTCACTTGTTGAAGGCGCTGGGCTAGCCTGTGATGCCTCACTGGTTGAAGGCATTGGGCTAGCCTGTGATGCCTCACTTGTTGAAGGTGCTGGGCTAGCCTGTGATGCCTCACTTGTTGAAGGCGCTGGGCTTGCCTATGACGCCTCACTTGTTGAAGGCACTTGGGTTGCCTGTGATACCTCACTTGTTGAAGGCGCTTGGCTTGATTTTCGTACCATATAAGAATTAAGTGTTGCTTACCTTCAGTGTTCACTGGCCAGTTGTATGATCAGCTCATTGGTTTGCCTCAGGTACTGATACATGTTTCCAACTTCTGGAAACAATTGGATGAAATTGGATGAGCACAATTGGATGAAAAATTTATTAATCCGTCAACATAGGTCATGAGTACGCTGTATTTTGTGATCATTGGTGTTGGTTCTTCACTGCCTTCTTCATCCTACTCCTCTTTGTCGACCTCACCAGTAATACACTGGAGGATCTTGTCTTCACTCATCACACCATATCCTGGGTCATTGGTATCTTTTTCAAGCCAATCAACCACATCCTGTCTTTCTAAGTTTTTGCCGGCATTTCTTAACATTCCGTGGATTTCATCTGTAAATCCTTCAAAATCCATTTCTTCATCCTCCTCATTTCTGACTGTATATGCGGGCTGGTATATGGGAGGAGTTTTTTTCCAGGAATTTTTCAAAGTCGATTCCTTTACTTCACTCCACACCTTGGCCCAGTTATAGATGGCTTCCTTGATTATATAGTTCTTCAAATTCTCAAGTTTTTTTTCTTGGGGGAGCCCCGTCGGCTCCCCGGAGCTATCCAGGCTGAATGGATATGTATAACTTTCTGGCATCAGTCAATGCATGGAGTTCTTGCCTACCGGGGACCACGAGCCAGAACCTGGCTCCCAATAGAGAGGCACGAGGAGCAATGGCCTATAGAGACCCCCCTTATGATTGGGAGCATTCTATGTCTACCATCGACTGGGATAGGCACCCAGAAAGGTAGGCACCCCAAAACAAACCCTTATTCTGGTAAACTATTGCGACCAAAAACCGAACAAGTGGACAGAACTCCCCAAACGAAAATTAGCAAACAAGCATGACGTCGTCATGTTGCCGCGCTGCTGTCTGTGCTGTTGTCTGCGCAAACCCCCCTCCCCAGGAGGGGGAAGGGGGAAGCCCCAGACCCCACCGTCGGCGACCCAATGGTTAGTTCTTGGGCTGATGGGATCTGGTGGGGTCTTGCCTCTGGCTCCAGTTTTCTGTTGCAGTTCTGTGCCTTGTGGTGTGAGCTGTCCCTTCTGGTGGTGCGTGGGCCAGGAGTGATATTCCACGGTGCTCGGGCTGCATGCGCCTAGGGTCACCTTTCCTAGGTGCCCTGTAAGTACTGCCCTTGGGGCTTAGGGCCACCTTCCCTGGGTCACCTTGGGGTCTACCTCTGCTGTGCTGCTTACTGCTCGGTACTTGGTCGCCCTTGGGGTCAGCTGGGTTTTTTCTTGCCCTTGATTGTCTCTGGGTAGGGTGTAGTTTTCGTCACTGCAGGGTGCTGCACACCTAGTTTTCACCATTAACAGCGGCCGGCTCTGTTCCGCCCGAGTACTTTGTCCTCTTGCGGGTTTTTTCTTTTGTTTTTGTTTTCTGCCTGGTGGGGGGGGGGGAAGAGTCTGCCTGTTGGTCCCCCATTGCTGTTTTTGGGGTATATCTATATCTTTATATCTCCATTTTGTGTTGGTGGTCCTCCCCGCTTGG